TATTACTATATGTTGGTAGGCAAAAGAGGCGGTGGGTGCAGGGCTCTTGGCTCCCGTGGCTCCTGTAACATTTCTCCATTTCATGGACTTCCTCACCACTCGTTGCTCTTTCATCCTCATCATTTGTGTCCATCTTAGTTTGCATCATTTTGGAGACTTTAAAAGGGCCTTTGATTCTCTTAGGGGACAGTTTTCTAAAGTAGATAGGAACAGTTTAATATTTAAACCTGGGCTGTAAGATTCCTAGAGTCTTTGGGTTTATTTTATTTTAAAGCCCATTTTAGGATATTTCTGGCACTCAGTATAGGTCTTGCTAATGGGGGAGACTTTTTAAAAGGATGCTTAATATCAAGGGAGCAATCCACCCATGAAAAACAGTTTCCCTTTTTAATAGTTCATGCTGCTTTAAAGGATGCTCTGTAATTGCATTGGTAAATCAGAGCCGGATCTTTCTGAAATGAAGAGATTATCCTACTATTTGTCCACAACAAACAAGGGACATTTATGATGCAGGCAACTCAAAATAGCAAGGGTCTGTCAAACCCTTTCCTTCCTAAAGAAGGAAATTTGAAAATCCCCCTGTTAGCATTAGCTCTCAGCCTATTGAATAATATCAATTAATTTTAATTTCCAATAAATTAATTTCATTTCCAAGAAAGGAAAGCCATACAAGTTACCTGCATGAAATTATCTGTCTGGTTTTTGCTCATTTTTTTCAGTGGGGAGGAGGAATACAGTCTAGAAGTTTTCAATTAAAATGCTGCACCTCTAGTTTCAAGGTAGCCTGTAAGGTTGCTGATGTCATGTCAAAGCAATTGCTTTGTGCTCCTAAGGGCTTACGCTAGAATCAGGTGAAAACTTCCAAAGATTTTATAGATTACCAGATCATGGTTAGAAAGCAAATGCAAAGGGTGCATCGCGCTCCTTTTGCCACAGTCTGTTTCAGCTGACAGGAGAGATTGTGGACCATTGTCTCCATGGAAACTGGTCCCTCAGAAGGCAAAGAGCTGAAGACGGCAACTCTCACTTAAATCCTTCATTTGTCAAGGGAAGAATCTTTTGAAGTGGTAGGGTATGTCAACCCCACATAGGGATATGAGGCTCTCAAATGTATTTGACAGCTAACATCTTATTAATATATTGCAGGATAGATTATATTCTGTATCGGTAATGTACTACTGATCTCAGTAACATGCTAATCTTAAATTGGCTATTTTAATCAGCTGTAACTTTAACAGTGCCAGATGCTTTATGGAGGGAAATGGTTCTCTGTTACAAAATTAGGTTCACTTGGATTTTGATGCATTTAAAGAATGGGATGTGAATGTTAAAGGTAAACTGAACATGGATTAAAGTACTTGGTCTAAATCGCTGTCCTTATCGCATCAGTTCTGCAGAAATTGGATGGTAGAGGTTTTCATGGCATGGGGAGGTAAGCTTTATCCCCTGCTGATGTCTGCCCATTAGAAAGTTCATCCTGCTCAGTTGACTAAAACTTCTTTCAATTCAGTTCATAACACCTCAGTGGGTATCCATCTCTCTCCCCCTTTCTCTCTCTCAGTACAAACGAGATTAAAGACCTAAGACTTTAACTATAGGCATGGTGGTTTCATGAGTCAATGTTAAGACTTGTTTTTTATTACAGCAGAAATCAAAGGAAGGCTTATAACATAAATAGAAAATGAAAGAAACACAGTTGACGAAACCAACACTATAAAAGTAGTTGTTGTTTTTTTTAAATAGCGATGTGGATTATCTGGTGGTTGATTAAATGATTTTTTCCTTCTTTGCTCCTTGCATTTAAATCAATAAACAATTGATGGGGAAATTGTCGCCTTCTAGCAGTTCTAAGCAGCTGGACCAGTGGAGAGAGATCCTGGAAGCTACAGTACAGCTACATTTGGAGGCTCACATCCCATCCCCCATCTCAGCTAAAGGCTAAAGTAGACATTCTCTTACACACTACTAGTATGCAGGCTAATGGTTAAATAAAAGCTAAGCAGAACAGGTCTTAGTGCAATGTGAGAATCTAGCCTCAAACGTCAAAGATCTCCAGTTACCTAAATTTCTGGGTCTGATGGTTAAAAACTGAACTTCTAGCAAAAATGGAAGCTGAGAGAGAAGAAAAAGTAGCTGGCAACAGCTGCATTCATAAGGTTTGGGTCTAAGGGCCTTTCCAGATGACCAGCCCTTACATCAACTAGACTTTTTGAATCCAGTTAGAATGCACTTGAGGCTGATACTGGCTGTCTTGATTTATTTTCAGCTCCGTATGGACATAAGGTTGCTATGAGCATAGGCCTGTTTTCATTTTTGCAAATATGTAGGGTTCATGGAGAATCCCCAGCCAAACACTGCTTGCTTGCCAGCTTGTCATATAGCAGTAGAGTACCTTGTCCTGTCTCCCTCAGTTCTGACTATACTGTACAGATGTCCTCTTTGGGGAGAAAAATGGAGAAAGAGAGAATAAACTCTTAGTATTTCCCCCAGGCTTCTGGGCTTGCCAAGATCGCCAAACTGCTATGGGTTTCAAAGCTGTCACTACTGATGTGCTGGCGGTTTGGCATTTGGGCTACTGTATTTCAGTACCATCACATTTTATTCTCAAGTGTTAAATTGGAACTTATTCCAGTTCTTGTCTTTTCAGCATATCTTCAGGCAGCCCTCTGAAACTTTTATGCATTGTATTTGTATTTTTCTTTAGTAATGGTATTCATGAAATAGCATTCTTATAGTTTGATTAGGTGTTTGCTGTTGCTACAGTTCTTTAGCATTTTCATCCATGAGTTACTGATTAATATTCATTTCCCTGTTACTTTCTCTGTGCATATGTTGATACACCATTTGTTTTCTAAAGCCTGAAAAATGTTTGCTGTTTTCTTTATAAGCTTGCCAAAAGCTGAAATCAAATCACCGTCTCATCTTGAATGTAGATGATACAAACTCATATGGATTTGTTGTAATACTGCAATTCCAAGTGTTCTGTAGTCATATCTCCAATATCTTTTACGTGTTTCTCAAATCACAAATATGAACTAGAGAGCTCCCTAAATATGATTTTAGTGCTCTTCAGACTGGGTGGCCTAACTGATCAATGTAGAATAGAATGTCAGTTTTACCTTCTTCAATTAACAATACATTTTATTCCTTTAATAAGCACTGTATTAAAATGTATCAAGCTGATATTACTGGAACAGCAGTAGTGGTAATTAAAAAGTTAATAAGGGTAGAAATTAACATTTGAGACAAGAGTTTTGCATCATTTAAGAAGTTTTAATTTTATAAATTTTTTTTTTTAAGATGGGCTGTAATCTAAAAAAAAATGTGTTGCTCTAGATGGCACGTAGACTGATTGCCAAATGTGTGCCATCCTAAGGATGTATTCAGAACTATCAATCACTGACATCTCCTTCAGGGGCAAGGAGTTCAAATGGGCGGTAAATTTACAACTCCATATCCATGTCAAACCAACTTCTGACTTAGTTTTATTACAGAAACTGCTGTGACACCCTGTTAGAGAAGATATAGGCGATGTAACCTTGATTCTTTTGGGACTTTATGTAGGTTTAGATACCATTAGGGGCAGATATAGTAGTTCTGCTTCAGTCTGCAAAGCTTTTGGGGAATGGAGTTTTTGGTATTATGGCCTAATAGCATCTCTGCTAGGAAACTCCTGCCAAGTTTTATCTTGTTGTCCATGATTCTGAAGAACCATAAGATGTATCAAGAAAGATCATTCAAATATTTGTAATGATCAGTCATTGGTATTTTCTGTTTCTTCTTGCCACTTAAGTCACATGAAGCAATAGAATTAAACCAGTGGTGATATTTCTAATATTGGGATAGTACTCTGATAATCTTCTGGTTAAGCTTCTGCAAATTTCAAACATGGGCCTTGTATTTCAGGATTACTGCAGTTAATACAAAATGCAGTTTCTAGACTTAAGTGTTTGGGGAACATATTTTATTAGTTGTGAAAGAATTTCCAAGACTGTTTCAACTATTTGAGATCCAACCACTTAAACATATGCACACAGCCATTATGAAACTGCCTGGATGCTGAAGGTACCTGTTGGTGGTTTTCTTGGGTCCTTTCACTGTCCAGTAGAACAGGGAACAGTCCAGGTATTTTTAAAGCAGCTGCTTTATCTGAGGAATTCCTTCCCTGAAAAAATGGTCAGGTTATCGTTGAGGAACCTATGTATGCTTAAAACCCACACACAGCTTTACAGATGCCCCTATATGTGTAACCTATTACTTTCATTTTATTTTTCTTTCATTGTTTGATAGTTTTAGTATATTGTAAGCTGTCATGGGATAATTTGGAAAGAATAGCGTACTGATATTTTTGTCTCACCCAAGAGGCATATTATGTCTGCCGTTTTCACATTTGAAATAGGACTAAGGATGTATATTAAAATGGTGCAAAGCCAAGGAAAGCTGAAGTTTCACCCTTCCCTTGATTTCTTTTCCTATAATTAATCCAGGCCTTTGATTCAGCCTGGCTCAAGAACTTCAGAATGGGGCTAAAAAGAAAAAGAGTAGATGGTAGACTGGTGTTTCTCAACCTTGGCAACCTCAAGATATGTGGACTTCAACTCCCAAAATTCCCCACCAGCATGCTGGTTGGGGAATTCTGGGAATTGAAGTCTACATATCTTGAAGTTGCCAAGGTTGAGAAACACTGTAGTAGACAGTTGGAAAGACAGTCATGAACATTCCTTTTAGGAAATGATTTGATGGTCAATCCCCATTCACACGTTTCATACTTGAACAGGGGCAGTGAAAGAACATTGCTATCCCTATCTTGTATAGTTTGGCCATAAATCAGCAATTACTGTATGCTGCACATTAATTTCAGTGTATGTCATAATATTTAATTTTCCTTGTAATTTGAAATTGGTGTGGTTGATTTCAGTACAAATTGATTACCTTTAAATTTCATTATCAGGTTTTATTTGACTTTGTGAACAAATAATCATTGTGTTACTGAATATTAGGGTGTGGAATGGCGCTGTGATGAGACTACTACAAAAGCTTGTTATAGTAAAGGCAAATCAACGGTGAGTAAGGCCTTAATCAATTTTCTATATCTGAAATGTAGATGTCCTTGAATGTGGTAAAACTACATCCATATCACATATAGTAGTTGTTCCCAACCTTTTGCCCTCTGGATTTAGTATGATTTACTTATTCTGAGTTTCAATGGCAAGAACATTCAATGGATAGACTGAACAGTGCAGGATTTTTGAGGAAAAAAGAACTAAAACAGAAACAGAAAATAATTGAAGAAGGATTATAGTTTTTAAAAACTGGAAATACCGTTTGAATTAGAAATGGGGCTAATTTCCTGCTTCTAATACCCTCTGTGTAGTCATTGAGATTATCTGAAGTTTATAAGCTCACTATAAAACCTATACTTTCTCATTTTAGATAAAAATTGAGCTGACTGAATAAAGGAGTGCAAATAATTGCAAGGTGAAAACTTTGAAAATTTAACATCCCATTCCGGGGTGTTCCAGCTTCACCAGAGGTGTTCCAACATTGGAATAAGCTGTCCTGACCTTATTGGAAACTATCTGACCTTGAAATGGATGTCAAAGGAAGGCATTTGGGGGTCAGAATGTTTCTACATTAAAACATTTTGCAGAGTTCTAAGTGCTGCAAATTCCTAAGGTCTGGTTCATTTTACCATGTAATCTTCTGCTTGATATAGCTATTGGGTACAAAAATGAGTAATTGATTGATTGATTTTTTTATACTGCCAACTTCATACAGACTTCTAGCAGTTTACAACTGTAAAAAAATCCATAAATTTATAAAACTCTCCCATCCCAAAAGAAAACAAAGCTTAGTTTCAAAAGTGAATTCTTCATCAGAAGTCAGAAGCTCATTGTCTTGACTATCCTCCAAAACACCCAAACACCCAAAAGGAGGGTGCCATCTAGATCTCTGGACAACATTTGTTCTGCAATCATCTGGCATTCCACCCTTCTCCAACATTTCTTAAAAATTGCTCTTAAGATCAACAAATTCCTGCAGTATTATTTGACTGCTTGTTTGCTGAGTTTGTATACCACCTTTCTGTTTATAGCAACATTCAATGTGTCTTGAATAAAAGAGTGTATGAAGAAGAAAAAGCTGAATTAAAGAATAAAGTGCTGAATTCTAAACAGAAAATTTGTTTAGTACAATAAATAATTTATGGTAGCTTCAGACAACAAAATATTATTTTTCTATAGAAGTCCACACATACGTTCACTATACAATGATCATTGCTGTAATCAGGTCAGCAGCTGTTGTAATAAGTATATATGTTGATGTATCAGTACTTACAAAACATATTGATGGATTGTGTTGCTGTCATTAGGATTTAATTGTAAATAAATTCTGATTTTATAGAAGTTTCTTAATATATATGTTTATACTCATTTATATTAGATAGATAATGATCTCATTTCTTTTCCTTTCTTCGGCAGGAAGAATGCCAGAATTATATTCGTGTTCTCCTCATTGGTGGAGATAGACTGTTTGCATGTGGAACTAATGCATTTACACCCATTTGTACTAATCGAACGGTAAGAGTATAAGTGCATCTACACTATAACTTCAATACTGTAGGTTTCATAATTCAGTGAGACAGAAGTGGGGGAAGACTTGTGTGATTGTGGAATTCCTTGTACAAATAAATCCATTTGCACCTTCTCCATTATGCATTAGGTGGCCATCTATCAATTGCAGTGTATAACACATAATTTCCAGTATTACATCCATGCTATAATTACCTGAACAGAGACTTGCGAATTAAATTACTGTTATAACTAGTTACTATATTATTAATCATAAATATTGTTTCTGACTGAAGAAAAAGCTGCAAAGAGACCTGGGAATTTCTTAGTTAATTATATTAGGAATGGGAACCTCTCTGGTCTTCCATGGAGTTTGCCCATCTGATCTACAGATGATCTGAGATTAGAACTTTCCTCATCCCTGCAAGGCTTTAAAATAGCCTCACTTCAATATTATGACCATTTTAAGCATCCTAGCCATAGGAGAACATTTCAAAAAGGAGTTACTTCTGGAAAATGAAAGGTTCTGCTCCCCAATACTACATGATTGGTAAATACCTCACATTATAATAAAGCTTTAAAATAACCTTAATTTATGACAGTTCAGGCTATTTTAAAGCCTCATTGTGGTATAGGTGGCATTTTTAAGGGGAAAGAGCTCCCAGGAGTGGAAAAAGTTAGCCCCCTCTTAACAGTGCAGCCTTCTCCCACACCCTGCAACACTTGAATACTAGTAGAGATTGTTTTAATGTTGCTGTGATGCAATATTTAAGTTGGTGGTTTAACTGACTGTGTGTGTATAGGGTGGAGGGAGTGAATGGAGTCACTTAATAAAATAATATTTTTCAATATTTTGCAAAGTTTGGATGGAATATGATACTATTCTATTGACTGAGTTTCTGCAGTGGAAGCAAGGAAGAAGCAATTCCTTTTCCTCTTGCAACTCCCAGTATTCTTCCAAAACCTGACCATTAAATTATTAAATATGCATGTTTTGAAAATTGAACATGTTGTAGAGGTCACCTATGTGATGGACATTGTGAACAGTAATGGATTTAAGGAGATCTAGTATGGGCTCATGTATAACCCAATGCCTTTGTTGAACTTTTAGTCCCTAAAGCTAGTAAGAAGCCTACATTAATAAAAATATACTTTATGACATCATTTTTAATTTTTCACATTAGAAGTCAGTTATTTTTTTTCTCCCTGTTGTTTGTGTATGTGTGTGTACTTATATTTAATATAAGAATCGAGTTCCTGTAATTCAGTGTTGTTGTGGGAGAAAATCAGAGGAGCTCCTGAACCAAAAGCAGAACAAAGATTGAAACATACGTACAAATAAATTATTCAATAAATGTTCAAGATTTGTGGGTTATGTGTTCTGTAATGCAGTTTGTAATAGTTAATTCTTCCTCTCCCCAATCTTCTGATGAAGCTAAGTAACTTGGAAGAGACACACGATCAGATCAGTGGTATGGCACGCTGTCCCTATAGCCCCCAGCACAATTCTACAGCTCTCCTTGCAAGCACTGGTGAGTTATATGCAGCCACCGTCATGGACTTTCCAGGAAGAGATCCTGCAATTTATCGCAGTTTGGGTATTCTTCCTCCACTTCGGACTGCCCAGTACAACTCTAAGTGGCTCAACGGTAAGTACATGTAAGACACATATTTCTTGGATAGTAAATGCTTTCTTTTAAGAACTCAAGTTGACTCATTTTGAAGGAAAAAGCTTCATTCTTACAACTTAATGCTTCTTTCTCCATAGCCTCTTCATATTTGGAAAAAGGACTTCTTAAATGTCATTTTTTTTCCAAATACCTTTATTAGATTTTTAAGATAAAGAGATAAAAACTAACAAGAACTAATAATTAAGAGAAGAGAAAAAAGTAAAGAATGAAAAAGAAACAGGGTCAAAAGTACAGAAAGAAAAAGAAATACAAAAGAAAAATGACTTCCGACTTTCTTTTACAACAGATATAAATATAAATTTGCTTTAAGCTCTTACTCTGTGTTTAGAACATAACTTTCATTGTTTCTGTTGTCTACTATTGTTTCTAATTGTCAAATCCAGATATCATGATTCCTTAAATGTCATTACTGAAGGATTGAAGCTGGTCATGTTAGATGAAATTGGGGCATGGGGAGAAACAAAGAAAAGATATAAAAGATGTGAGAGTTATCATGAAAATATAAGAGACATCTGCCATAAAGATTGTAGGTTTATTTAGTTCTTAGTACAGGTAGTCCTCATTCAGCGACCACTTGTTCAGCAACCATTCAAAGTTACGACAGCACTGAACCGGTCCTTATAGTTGCGACCACTGCAGCATACCTGCAGTCACATGATCACAATTCAGGCACTTGGCAACCAGCTCACAATTACAATGTCACAGTGTCCTGCGGTCATATGATAACCATTTGCAACCTTCACTTTTGTGACTAGCAAAGTCAATGGGGGAGCCAACGGGAGATTGCAAATGAGATTGCAGATAGTAACGACCATGTGTGATTCACCTAACAATGGCTGCTGGAGCTGCTGGAACTGCTGTTGTAAGTTGGCACAATCACATGACATTGTGGTTTATGACTGCATCGCTTAGTGACAGAGTTCCCAGTCTGAATTACCGTAGTTAACCGAGGACTACCTGTAACTGTAACTAAAAAGGCCACTGACATGTAGATCCAAACACATGTGGTCTTTGGACAGTTACTGCAACATATATGTAACTGTGTTATTACATTGTTCTTATCCTTGTTATTATTTGAATGTACATAATCTTGGCAGGAGAAAGGGAGTCACAGACTGAAACTGACAGATATATGTGGACTCTTGTTGAATTCATGAGTGAAAGTGAAATGGTCAAAAAATGTTACATAAAAGTTGGAGTTTGAGGAAGAATATGGGGGGAGAGGAGACAGCAGCCTCTTGCATGAATTCTAGGTACATGTCCTAAAGAAACAAGGATACAAATGTAGATGGATGGAGTCAGTTTAGAGAGCAGAATTATTTTCCTCTATTTTTGTTTTTCAAAATATATTTCAGAACCAAATTTCGTGTCTTCATATGACATTGGAAACTTCATCTACTTTTTCTTCCGAGAGAATGCAGTGGAACATGACTGTGGGAAAATAGTTTTTTCTCGGGCTGCTCGAGTTTGTAAGAATGACATTGGTGGCAGATTTTTGCTGGAGGATACTTGGACCACCTTCATGAAAGCTCGTTTGAATTGCTCCCACCCTGGAGAAATTCCATTTTACTACAATGAATTACAGAGTACGTTCTTCCTGCCAGAACTGGACTTAATCTACGGGATCTTTACCACTAATGTGTATGTAGTTTATGTAGTATTTTTCTTTCTAGAATATTCAAAATTCACTTGGGGAAGAGATCTGTTTATATCCAGGAGTGGGCAATCCTGAAAACAAACTGATATTGAAAATTGACTGGCCCAAGGTCTCCCAGCTGGCTTCATGCCTAAGGCGGGACTACAACTCACCATCTGCTGGTTACTAAACCAAACTGGCTCTTTCTTTAGTTCTTTACTTAGCTTTATTTATGGTTGTATATCTCTATCTCTATTTCTATATCTATCTGAATATAAATTTATTCCATAATTCGGTTTGATTTTATCCATTGCATGACTGATAATCAACATATCATAAACAATATGATTTCTAGACATATACATATACATATACATATACATATACATATACATATACATATACATATACATATACATATACATATACATATATATAATATCTGTATGCATATTGATTATGCATTTATATACATTTATATCCACAAACAAATGAATCAAATAATATCTTTGTCTTATTGCCCTCTCATTTTTCTAATGGGCTGATAATTTATTAAGCTCCTAGAAGTATAACTGAAGCAGATCTTGCTGGAAGAATTCTTGGAATTTAAGCTGTTCTGAATTTGGAGAATGACTACCTACTGTATAGGAATGCATTTTTATTTCTACAATTTATACAGTGCTCCAATCTGTATGAACTGACTAAGTTATTGTTCCCAAATTAGTCAGATGGTTCCCTAGCATACGGAGGTTCTAGGCACACACAAAGAGAAGAATAAATTTCTGTAGAAGGGCGAAATCAAATATGGGTTTCTGTAAGCAGAGGGAGTCTCCCAGATATGCTCAGCTGCATATTTTTAAAGATCTCATGCAGAGGACCCTCCACTCTAAAATCTGGCTTCTGCAAAGCATGCAGAATGTACCCTTTATAAAGGGAAAATGATGCTGGTATTTGAAACGTTCAAGTGGAAGCAACGCTGGGATTATTATTTGTGTTAGCAGAATACAGGATACAAGTATTGGCAGAGGGCAAGTGAATTAATTAAATAATTTTAACAGGCTGTTCTCTAGCAATATGATATTGGGTACCCAGTATATATGTATTATCTGAATAATTTCTTTTCTAAAGATCTGTCTAAACAGCACTGAGTTAGAAGTAATGTATGTGCTCTATAGGCATGTATGTAGCAATTTTGTCTAAAATTAATTAAAATCTTTATTGTTAGGTCTACTAGCTTTTAGCTGTTTCCCTCATAGTTTTGCTATTTCATTCCAGGATTTGTGGAATGGATGTACTTCATTCAGCTACTTTAATTCTGCATTGAATATCTTTTACCTTACCTTACTAAACGTTTTATGAATATTACTAAAACATCACACTCAACCTGTTATTCTGCTAAATTAGGTCTGCCTACGCCTATCACTACGTAAGCTTGTCATTTCTCTTGTTTCATACCTGCTCAGTGTGGTGAATTCTTCCTTAGCTTATCAGCTTACTGCCGAATACTGTGTAGTGTCTTCCCTTTGAGTAACTAGTTTGTTCAACACATCAGTGATCTTAAACAAGTGCTTGCTTTATTTAAGAAACATGTATGCTTCTCTGTCACAAAAGAGATACTGCTGTCTAGTGACATAAGGAATCTGTGGACATGTACTCAGCTGGACTAGGTCAGGCTTTTCCAGAATTCCCCAGCCAGCGTGGATGTTGCTAAGAATTTGGGGAACTGAAGCTTGCACATCTGGAGGATATCAAGGTTGGGAAAGGCTGACCCTAGATAATTTGCAAATAATTTCAGAATGATAGCTATAATTCTTAACTGCTTGCATACATGGATGATTATTGTAAGACAATCTCTGATGTTTTAAACAGAAGGGTGTTTATCCTTGCTTATTTTCAAGATGGTGGGGTTTGTTTCTTGCCCAAGTTTGTGTAGCAAGGTGTCAGGTTTCTGTTTAGCTATCTCAGCTAGCTAACTGGTAATTTCCAAATGACTTCTGTTTTGCTTTATTCTTCAAGGAATAAATGTCAACATGTTGTATTCTAGTTAATGTAGCATTATCACAGTACTTAAAAAAAGGCTGAGCTAATTTAGAAGAGGGTAAAATGTTGGAGACTTTTATTGTAGAGTTCACAGCAAAGTAATGTATGTGAAATGTAGTGAATAATAATTACAAAATGCATAATTTATGTATAGTCTCAGATACCACAAGACTGTTAATTATAAAGTATTGTTAAAATATAAAGAAACCTTTTTCAACTTGGTACCTCCAGAGATATTGGTCTAGATCTTACAGTACTGTCATTCTTAGAAGCTCTAACTTAATAACCATGAGCCATAGTTATGTCCACTCGGAGGTGAGATGCAAAGGATTATAAGTGTTATGGAAAACTCGCACTGGCTACCTAAAATATTTATTTTCTGTTTTCTCTATGTGTTTTTTTTTTAAGGAACAGCGTAGCCGTTTCAGCTGTTTGTGTGTTCAACATGACTGCAATAACTCAGGTCTTTAGCGGGCCCTTCAAATACCAAGAAAATTCTCGTTCTGCCTGGCTTCCTTATCCCAACCCTAATCCTAATTTTCAGGTACTTAAAAATAAAAAGGTGTTCGTAATGTATGCATGTCTGTCAAATTGCAACCCTAGTTTTAGAAAGTTAAAGTATTTATAATCAATGCTCAACTTTAAAATTGGGGGAGCGATAGATAAGTAAATAAACATGGTAAAAATTATAACCCCCCCAAATATCCAGAATTTAAAAATTAGTTGAGAGCTTTAAAAACACCTACAGACTACCTGCCAGAAGTATCCATAGTAATTGATGATGGGAGTTGCAAGCTGATAACATTGGGAGGGCAACACATTGCCAATTAAGCAGGGATATTTTTGGCGCCTGCTGGAAGCTAACAATATCTGGATTAATGTATCCTATCCTACATAGGGAGTGAATTCTGTAATCTGCTGCCCCGAAAACTCATCATCCTGTATTTCCATCAATTAGACTTCTTTGGTTCTTAGATATGTAATGTGATCTCAGACATATACTATAAACTGTAGAATATGAGAGGAGGTAGACTTTCAGTCTTTTTGTCCCAAGCCATTTATGGTTTAATAGGTAAGAATCAGCACTTTAAATTGGCCAGAAACAGACTGAAAACCCATGCAACTGATGTAGAACTGGTATAGTATGATCTGTAAAGTGCAACGCTGAAAAGCAATCTGGTTGGGAATTTTGCATCAGCTGTAGTTGAAAAATACAGTGTGGGGGCAGTTCCTGTGAAGTGTGTCACATTAGTGTACAAAGGAAGGATTAAGCATGGATCACTCTTGCTGGATCAGCTTCCTCCAGGATATAGAACTAGTGTACCAGCTAAAATTGAACAACAACAACAAAAAAAACCTTCTACCCACAATTGCTATCTTAGCATCCACAAACAAAGTTGTATCTATACCCCTCCTTTATAATTTTGTACTCTTTTGAAACGGAACAAGAGCCTGAGGGCTAAAACACAGCAGTAACTCTGATTATAACCCTGATAACCTAACTCTTGGGGAGGAGTTTCCTGTGGGAAGAATAGATGCACGGGGAAGCCCTCCCAGAAGAAGAGACAGTCCTAAAAGAGACTGAGGTTCCCTTTATAATTATAACTACAACTGCAGCTAGGTGAGGTGCCCTTGTGCTTTTGAGTTCCAACTCCTCTCAGTCCTATCCAGGATGGACAACAATGAGGAAGCATGGATGTTGCAAACCAACATAATCTGGAGAGCCATGTGCTATGTGCTTCTTGTGCTTCGTGTTATGTGTGTATAAGGATCAGAACATCACTTACCTATTCATTTCTGTTTTGAGGTATATTCGTTATAACAGTTCCTATATTCATATGTATGGATACTTGCAGACTAAATGCAGATAATCTGATAAACATTGCATCTGATAAACATTGATGTTTGAAGTATATTATATAGCTGGATGATCAGTCAGTGGTGCACAGCTTAATATAAGATTTAGCCTGGAGATTGTTATAATTTGGGATCTTGAAATACATACAGTGTGTGTCTTCAGTTCTTAAAATCTTGAATTACGTAAATAGTACTATATGTATACGTTTTCAGTGTGGCACCATGGATCAAGGCCTGTATTTGAATCTGACAGAGAGGAATCTCCAAGATGCCCAGAAATTTATTTTGATGCATGAAGTCATCCAACCTATCACACCAGTTCCTTACTTCATGGAGGACAATAGCCGTTTTTCTCATGTGGTTGTGGATGTGGTACAAGGAAAAGAAATGCTTTTCCATATAATTTATTTGGCCACAGGTAAATTACATCTTTATTTCCTCATTTCCTTTATTTTTAACATGTATAGATTGTCCAATAATTCTTCATCTGAGATTTAAAAAACCTAAAATACAAAACCACAGTAAAATATCAGTAGTAAAATAACATAAAACCAACAGCAAGGGGAAAACAGTGGTACCTCTAGTTACGAACTTAATTTGTTCCATGACTCTGGTTGCAACTCGAGTTGGTCTCAAGT